AAAAAAGTCAACAGATAAATTAAGGGATAAAATTGAAAACAAAATGTTCTTCATAACAAACAAAAATACTTGTCTCCAAACTATTCACAAAGGGACTTCTCACCAAATTATTCACCCCTCTTACCAACAAAAAATATCCATTGACCCTAATGCTTTATATCATCCTTAGCTTGGACTTTTCAACAATTAACCCTTATTAATTAGGGGTGAATTATAGCCATAGCCCCTCGAATATGACACTTGTTTCATTTTAATTCTTATATTAATAATGGTGCCATTTAAATCCCTCAAGATTCAATTCCGAATCAATTTAGTCCTCGAAGGAAATAAGGCTAGGCAAATATCATTGGTTAAAAAATTATCATGAGTAGGTGCTACGTCTGATTGTTGCAGGTTAACAAAGAGAAATGCCCCAGGTCAAAAAACTGGTGCAAAAAAGGAGATGAGAGAGAATTTGATAGAAACAGTCTTGACCCCAAGTTGAAGAAAACAGAAGAGAAAATACAGAAAGAGAAGAGGAGAGAAGAAAGACAAAAGAGACACACAGAGGAGAACAATATGTATAGAAGGATATGGAGGATTCTTCCACAAGTCCTGTCAACCGAAAGAAGCATTCATCAATTTGCTAAGGGATATTATCAGGTAAATGTGAGAAATGATTTGTTCTTCTTGGAGGATAAATATTTTTAAATATATATATATATATTAGTGTTTATTTTGTCAAATCAGATTCAAGCACTCATGAAACTTGAATATATGTCCTGCTCCAAGATCATAAACACCTACTAGAACATCTTCTTCTTGTTCCTCACCTAACCTTCACCTTTGAATACATATCAAAATTAAACAAACAACCATAAAAGCAGCAACGAAAATCAATTTCAAAGATTTTGAATTTTGGGTTATGGGTCAGAGATCTTTGAAGCAGAAAACAAATAAAAAACATCAAAAAGAAAAACATGCAACTGAAAAACATTAAAAAACATGTATTCGAAGATGTAAACATTCAAATATTCAATGGTGGGTACAGTGGTGTTGCCTTTGTTGAATTCAATATTAATATATGTACATGAATAGGGGGTGAGTTCAGGTCAATCCTTTGTTAGGGATAATTTGGTAGTAGTGGATCATGTTTAACGCTCAGTCTGGGTCCTGCCACCACCTCCTCCGGGTGTGTACCGGGGGAAGTTCAATGCTACAATGGTGCCTGCGTCATTTGTTGGGGAGGGGAGGGGGGTCTTGCCCGTGCTCAATTGGTGGAATTGCTAAGATCTTTGACACTCTGCAATTGCAATGTTGGAACATTTATTTTTATATTGTTTTTAGTATTCAAGGGCATCCTTTTGTTCTTTCCTCTTATTTCTTAGGTTGCAGAACTATGTTTGAGCTGATCCTGTGCTTGTTGCAAACTACTGAAATTGGTAACATGTTTTGTGGTCAAGTGAAAGAATGCCTTTTCTAGTATTCATAAAAAACTTAATCATATTAGCTAGAAAGGTCAAATTGGGTAATCTATTAGGTAATCTACAGAGTTCATAAAAAACCTGTTTTGTGGTAACATGTTTATGTTGGCTATAAAAGAGAGGCACCCCCATGGGTCTAAGGTATGCTTTTGATACTCAAGCTTGTGAGTTTAGTACTTGATTTATCTTTGAGAGATATACTGACTTGATCGTCGGAGTGCCCCCGGGTGGTCGAAACCACCGCGGGATTCTTATATTTCTGTTGCAGGTCAGTCAGGTGCCATCTATTCTGCCAGTACTCTCCAGCTGGTTACTAAGCGGGCAGTGTGGTCGGAAAATCACCCACACAATTACATATAATTCAATTAACAATTTTTTTCAAAACAATAAGTTTCAATGTAACCATGCCGTTCTCTATGCAAATTTGATATTAAATTCATCCATAATGATGTCAAAAAAGAGTTAAGCCATATATTATTAGATATCACGTGTGTAATAAATTAAAATTTGACAACTATCATACATTATGAGTCAAATTATAAAAATTTTCTTTTAGATCTTGAACATTTGCTTTCATATTATCGGGATAGTGCTAGGGACACAAACAAATATGAAATGTTACAGATCCACAATTTAACTCCCACAATTCCCCATTAAATTTATGACAAATTGAAAATTAACAGATAACCTACCATGTTATTATTGATAAAACTATGAACTCAAACCAAAAAAAATTGTGGTCCCAATCTAATTTTCATAAACAAAAGGGAAATGATACTGCCCTTAGAAGAGGCGTACTGTATGTACTTTTTGGTTATGTTATTTTTATTTTTTATTTTTAATTATAACTACTTTTCTTTTTGAGTTATGATTCTATTTTAATTATAACTTATGAAATTTTTAATTATATTTCATGTAATATTTAGTTATGATTTTTTTTTAAAAAAAATTAATTTTAATTAAGGTGATTATTTAGTACTCGCGGAGTATAGACACATGATGCTCCATAAAGTTTTGATTGATGGAGAGGAGTAAGTGCTCATAATTTATGTTGGGAATTAGGAAACAACATGGGGCTAAATAATTAGCAATCGACTTGAAGTATGACCACGTGGTGTTCTGAGAGTATTGAATAATTTTCTTTTTAATTATGACTCGAAAAAGAGAAAAGTTAGGGATCATGAAATTTTTTTCATAATGATCATGAAAGATTTATGATCCTTTGATTATCTTCATTAGTATGTGGTACTTTATTTTAAGTTTAATCTAAAGATCACAAAACGATCGAGTGAGTGAGTGAGAGATTTGAGGGATTGGTGAGGGCTTGAAGAGAGTGAGAGAACGGCTCTGATTCTCACAGAGCTAAGAGAAACACGGAGGAATAACGTTATTGTAATACATGTGAAGACGTTTAAAAAACGACTTGTATTCCTTAAACGGTACCGTTTTAATCAAAATAAAATGCGACGTTTAAAAAACGTCGTTAAAGATTAGAAACAGTGGTGTTTAAAAGAACGTCGCTAAATAAACGCCGTTAAATTCTAGTACTCCCGGAGTATAGACACGTGATGCTCCATAAAGTTTTGATTGATGGAGAGGAGTAAGGGCTCATAATTTATGTTGGGAATTGGGGAACAACATGAGGCTAAATGATTAGCAATTGACTTGAAGTATGACCACGTGGTGTTCCGAGAGTATTGAATAATTTCTTTTTTAATTATGACTCGAAAAAGAAAAAAGTTAGAGATCATGAATTTTTTTCATAAAAATGATCATGAAAGATTTATGATCCTTGGATTATCTTGATTAGTATGTGGTACTTTATTTTAAGTTTAATCTAAGGGTCACAAAACTTTCATGATTATTTTCAAGAAAGATTTTTCATGATACATAGCATTATTATTCAAAAAAAATATAAAATTATCTTATTTTATCGTTAAGTTAGGAGGTGCAGTATTCTTTCCCTAAACAAAAAGATCATCAGAAGTGCAATTTTAGATAAGATTAAAGATTGGACCCCCTTTCCCCCACCCCTTTTGACCCTTTTTTTTTTTAATTGGTCAATTTTTTTTTTTTTTTTTTCTCCTCCTCCAATCACCATGCGCCACATGTATGGGGATCGTTAAGTTAGGAGGTGCATATCTTTCCCTAAACAAAAAGATCATCAGAAGTGCAATTTTAGATGAGAATAAAGATGACCTCCTTTCCCCCATCCCTTTTGACCCTTTTTTTTTTTTTAATTGGTCACTTCTTTTTTTTTTTCTTTTCTTTTTTTTCTCCTCCTCCGATCACCATCCGCCACGTGCCAATTCCTTCTTCACATGGCTAAAGGTTCTTCTTGCGTTGGCTTCCTAACATGGCCAGCTCATGTGTGTTGGCTTTGCACATTGCCAACTCTTGCAGCACATGGAGAATCACCCCTCACATGGGGCGATGATATCCCACACTGGCTACTCATACCAGCAGGCTCAGAGATGGATATGCTGAACATTCTGTTTGGTGTTTTACTCGCATGGACTTTGATTCAAGCCTTGCTACTAATTTCAAGGGCAACCCAAAGCAGCCCCAACAAGCTTCCACCAGGTCCCAAACCTTTTCCGATCATCGGAAACCTTCTCCACCTCGGCGACAACCCCCACAAGTCCCTCGCCGAGCTCGCCAAAACCTACGGACCCATCATGACCATAAAACTAGGCCAAGTAATCACAGTGATCATTTCTTCACCAACCATGGCTAAGCAAGTCCTTCAAAAGCAAGACGTAGCCTTTTCCAATAGACCCCTCCCAGACTTCACTCATGCCCACAACCACTACCAAGTCTCTGTGGCTTGGCTACCGGTCTCAACCCGGTGGCGAAACCTTCGAAAAATCTGCAATTCCCATATCTTCTCTACTCATAAACTTGATGCCAACCACCACCTACGGCGGCTGAAGGTGGAGCAACTCATTGCAAATGTACGCGAATGTTGCTTAGCAGGTGTTGCAGTAGATATTGGCCGAGCAACGTTTGAAACTTCGCTTAGTTTGTTATCAAACACCATTTTTTCTGTGGATTTGGCTGACTCGAAGTCGAACAAGACTGCAGAAATCAAGGAGATGGTGTGCAGTATGATGGAGGAGGCTGGGAAGCCTAACTTGGCAGATTACTTCCCTGTGTTTAAGAAGATGGATCCACAAGGTATAAGGCGTCGAATGGCTATTCATTATGGGAAGATGATTGAATTGTTTGATTGTATGATCAAGCAAAGATTGGAATTGAAGAAAATGAATGGATATCTTGAGAGCAATGTTGATATGTTGGATACTCTCCTCAGTGTCAGTGAAGATCATGGTGATGAGATTAACCATACTGGCATCAAGCACTTGTTACTGGTTAGCACTTCCACTTCCACTTTCTTTTTCTGTCTCAATCTTTTCCTTTGTTCTTGTTCTAGTTTTCATTGATTGAAATAAAGTGCCATAGTATTTTAGATATCTATCATTCCTGTGAATAATGATTGTAATAATTTTAAGTAAATCCTCACTTTTTTTTTGGCTCAATAATAAAAACATAAATGAAGGCAATTAGTGTTTCGCAGTCCTGTCTAGTATAGTCATAGAAGCCCCTATCCACTAAGGAGTTGGACAAGAGGCTTAGAAGAGCCCAAGGACATAGGGTAATTGTACACTCGAGATCCATAGATGGCTTCTCCAGACCGACTTGAGACATGACCTACCCTAGCCCCACCGAAGGATAATGACAAGGAACTGCAATGCTACGAAAACAGGGAAAACAGGGGACCATCTCCTTAGATGAGAGTCGACAGCGAAAACAGGAGCTTCCAACAGTGGATCTGCCTCCTAGATCAAAGTTCAAAATGAATCAGAGCACGGGAAGCCATTTCCTTATTTGTCTGTCAAGAAGAAGTATGGCGGACTAACTGAAATTTACATCAGTTAATGAAAGAGCCCAATGCAAAAGGAATCCGTGTCCTGTGTATCACCTTATGCAGAAAACAATTTATCTCCTCGGGCGATTGATACCGGGCAGCAACCGGGAAGCATCAGAGAAAAATATTTAGAAAATTATTTAAAAAATTCAATGTGTCTACAACTTATGTGGTGCTTACATCGCACCAAATTTAAATATACCATATAATATTGTATTTTTTGATCAATTTTTAAATACTTTTTCTTAATACTAGTACTTCCAAACATAGAAAGGGTTTTGTGTGTTAATAATTTAGATTGAATAAATTGGTGTAATAGGATCTATTTGCTGCTGGGACTGATACAACTTCAACCACATTGGAATGGGCAATGACAGAGATACTTCACAACCCAAAGATATTATCCAAAGCTCGAGCAGAGCTAGAGCAAACCATCGGCAAAGGCAAACAGGTTGAAGAATCAGACATCACTCGGCTACCTTACTTGCAAGCTATCATCAAGGAAACTTTTAGGTTACACCCACCAGCTCCATTATTGCTTCCTCACAAAGTTGAAACCGATGTGGAAGTATGTGGTTTCACAGTTCCAAAGGGTGCACAAGTGCTAGTGAATGCATGGGCTGTTGGCCGTGATCCGAGCATATGGGAGAATCCCAACTTGTTCATGCCAGAGAGGTTTTTAGGATCACAAGTTGATGTCCGAGGCAAGGATTTTGAGCTCATTCCCTTTGGTGCAGGAAGAAGAATATGCCCAGGATTGCCGTTGGCCACTAGGATGGTTCACTTGATGTTGGGTTCGCTGATTAACTCATTTGATTGGAAGCTTGAAGATGGGATTGCACCAGAGGACATGAAAATGGAAGAAAAGTTTGGTTTCACTTTAAAAAGTGCTCAGCCCCTTCATGCTATCCCTTTTTACACGTGAACAATGTTGCTTTCTTGGAGCTTCTTTCTAGTAGAACTAAGATAAATAAATTGGTCATCAATTTGAGCCTAGTTTCTCCGCTAGTTTGTGAAATGTTGTTTGCTTATAAATGAATAAATTGGTCATCAATTATAAATGGTTGGGGTTCGTTGGTATTAGTCGGAAGATGAATTGGTATTTGGTGATGATGTAGCAATATTAGGATATGTATTGGGAATTGAAGCGATGATATAACAATATTTTTCTTATAATATAGAAGTTTGTTTTTTTTTCTTTTTTTTCTTCTTATTTATTTATTTGTTTTATTTTATTTGGGTGATGATAGAGAACTCTAAAAGTAGAGCTCTAAATTGAGCTCTACATATGTGGAAAAAAAAAAAAAAAACCAAAACATCCCATCAATGGGTGGACCCCACCCATTAGAGTTCCTTTAGAGGTCTCGTTGGTCAGGAGGGGCGATTATTCTCATGGACTTAGATGGCCAAGAATTTTCACAGCTAATCAACATAGACAAGTCGAAGAAATATTCCCCTTGAGAGGCTCTCTAGGCTGAAAACTCGGAAGGGAAACCCAGGAACTAAATTGAGCTCTACATATGTGAAAAAAAAAAAAAAAATTGAGCTCTACATATGTGGAAAAAAAAAAAAAAAACCAAAACATCCCATCAATGGGTGGACCCCACCCATTAGAGTTCCTTTAGAGGTCTTGTGTTAAAGCTCTCAAATATTTTTGATTTTATTTTTACATATTGACAACTACTCAGATTTCAGTGTCCTAACTCTAACAAAACTACTTGTGTGTACAATGGAAGCTCTTGATTGCATATCGGTGGCTATGTTCCAGCCCCATATATGACCTATTGTTCGCATCGGTTTAGGCATGTAAAACTTAGAAACCCATTGTACTATGAAGGTCAAGAGCACACACTTTTTCTCACTTGACACATAGTAAAATCAAAAATGTTTAAGAGCTCTAAAATAAGAGCTCTAAAGGAGCTCTAATGGGTGGGGTTTACTCATTGATGAGATGTTTTGGTCTTCTTTTCTTTTTTTCTTTTTTTTTGTCACATTGCCACATAAGTAGAATTTAATTTAGCAACAATGATTCATCCTACTAAAAATATCACCACTAATAGCACTAATGCATTAAAAAAGTAAAAAAAAATAAAAAAAAATACAACTCCAAGATCAAAACATCACATCATTAATGGCGGGACCCACTGCCACTTAATTAGTGGGAGCACTAATTAGTGCTCCCAAGCATTTTTCTTTTAGAGTTTTACTTTTACCGCTCTCTATCATCCCCCTTCCAACATGAATGACTATAAGATTTATAGAACTTGAATGGCGTATGGATTTTAAACATTTTGGCAAGTGTGTAACACCACATGAGATGGGTTATCTTAATTTGATTTTCTTGATGCTCTGCAACAGTAGTATTTTTTTTTTATTATTATTTTTTATTGGAAAAATAAAATTTTATTGATAAAATTAAATAAAAATACATAATCACCAATAAAAACATCAATAAGGCAGCTAGAGGGAGAAGTGCATCAAAGTTTTAACAATTAGGCTGGTACCCTAAACAAAGCAAATCAAATGCAAACCCAAAGGTTGACAGCATGGGGGGAGTGTTGGGATCTGGGATCTGAGATGGGTTATCTTAATTTGATTTTCTTGATGCTCTGCAACAGTAGTATTTTTTTTTTATTATTATTTTTTATTGGAAAAATAAAATTTTATTGATAAAATTAAATAAAAATACATAATCACCAATAAAAACATCAATAAGGCAGCTAGAGGGAGAAGAGCATCAAAGTTTTAACAATTAGGCTGGTACCCTAAACAAAGCAAATCAAATGCAAACCCAAAGGTTGACAGCATGGGGGGAGTTGGCAAGGAGCCAAAGGGGAAGAAGGTGATAGAAAAAGGAAAAATAGAGAAACCATACCTTGATAAAAAGCTACCAAAAAAATAAAAAAAAATTAAGTCTTGATGAGACAAAAGCACCAATAATGATTGAGACTTTTTTTTTAAAGATCCTACAACTCTCTTTGGATTTCAACTATTAATGATATGAATTCCATACATGTATGAGTGAATTCCACGTATATATCGATAATTGAGATCTAAAGAAAATTATAAGGGTCTTAGGGAAAAAAAAAAAAGAGGGTGCCAAACTTTATTGCAAAAGCACTGAGGTACATTGCCATACACCGATAAAAGCTAAAAAAAAAAAAAAAAGAGGTCTTGATAAGACAAAAGCACTGAGGTACATTACGAAGAGGGATATGGCCTTTTCTTAGCTTTGATTTTTCTGACCTGCCTGGTCAATATGGAGGAGAAAATGGTTGATCAAGAAGCCATCAAATCCTGAATTCGACTTGTACCAAAAAGCCACTTGGAGCTTTACTTCATCCATCAGTCTATCCCAATTTACTTGAAGGGTTGTTAAAGATTACACTATTTCTTGCAATCCAGAGACTCAAGTAGACACCGAGGGAAAAAAAAAGTGATTTCTCCCTACATTTTTGTCTTATTATTGTGATTGTTTAAGTATAAAATTTTCAAATTTGAAGTTAAATTAGCTACAAAATAAAAAAATAAAAACTGCCAAACGGGCAGTGGATGAAAAATAAAATAAAATAAAAAACAGAGGTCTAGCATCTTCTCAAACTATATAATCAATCAAGGTGTCCAAATAATTTCTGCTACAGATGGACTTTCATGTTTATGTACATTTTTAAAACGTGACTGAAAATCTTGGCATGGACGTGCCTCCACAATTATTTGTACTGCTTTCAAATTCTACATATTTCAGTAGAAAACTTCAATTTCGCCTTGCCAACAACATTTTCATTGAAACATTGAAATTATGTTTTATAACCCAATAATTCATCAATGATGTAGACACAGCCATGTCAAATTCACTCTATAATTTTGTCATATCACACCCATAGACTTGAGTTCGGTCAAGAAAATTTATTGTGTGGTAAACTGATTCTAATCCTATTTCAAACCAATCACTATGAAAAACTAACAGTGCTACACGGAATCAAAGGCCCATACGTGTAGAACTCACATGAGTAAAAAAAAAAGTCAAAGTATTTGACATCTTTATAATCCGCTAAAAATAGTACTTGAGATTATAAAAAAAATATCATGAAATATATTATAAAAAAAATTTATCCTTTAATTAGTATGTGATATTTTATTATATGTATAATTTAAAGATGAAAAATCTTTGATGACATTTTTTTTTTTATAATTTCTAACATTACTCGTATACAAATGCTCTTGAACCACAAGCTAACTCCATGGGTGCCGCTAATCTCATTGTTACTTGAGTATTAAGCCATGTTTGTTTGGGTAGCTATGTGTTTGGGATTGCACTAGTGGTCCAATAAAATTATTAATCTAACGTTTGGTTAAAAAATTGAATTACGGACTAACAATCCATCCAGATATGGTATCCCACATATAATGGACTATTCAATCCCACATAAGGGGTAGGATATAAATTACAAATCTGGATCCTCCATCGCCCTTATCTGCAGCCCTTCCCTGTAGCGCCCCAAAACGACGTCGTTTTGGGGTAACTTTTCATGAAAAAAAAAAAAAAAAACACTCAAAAAGGGAGAAGTGGTGGTGGCGGTTGTGTTTTTGAGTTTGATGCTCTGGCAATTGTTGGAGATGGAGTTGGATCTGGATCTCTTCCCACAACATGGGTTTGTTGGTGTAGATTCAATGGTTGATGAAGATGAAGATGGTAATCTAGGGTTTGCTGTATAGGGTTGAGAACTATGCTTTGATGATGATCGTTTCTTCTTCTACCTATGACTGTTGTTGTTATTGTTGTACTGTAACCTATTGAAATGCCCATATCTTTGTCTTGCCCTCTCAGCTCCATTTTAATTCTCTTCCTTAAAATACACTAAAACCCTTTGATCCCTTCAACTTTCTCTTTCCTTTATTTTAATCTCTTCTTAGATCATCATCATCATCATAACCTTGAAGAGTCTCTCTTTTCTGAACCCAAAGCTAATCTTAAGAACAAACAACAATCAATCAAATAATCAACTGGGTAATCTAGGATTTTTAATTTGTGCTCTCTTTTTTCTTTTGATTTGGACTTGTGGATGCTAATGCTACACCCATAAACACAAAATCAAGAGGAAACAGAGAGATGAAGACCAGAAAAAAAAAAGAAGAAAAAAACGAAGGAGAGGGAGGGAAAGAAAGCAAAGAACAGAGTCAATTTGTCAAAGCATCAAACATGTTGATGAAACTGATCAAATTTCAAACCCACCCAAAATTTCATCATGTGTTCTCTTTTTGCTTCAAACGTCCTATGTTCATCTTGTGTTCTTGGGTTTTTATTTTTATTTTTTACCTGCCCAAAATTTCAAACCCAAGAACTAAAATCAAGCCCAAGAACACAGAATAATTTCATCATAATCATCATCATCACCAAGAACTAAAATCAAGCCCAAGAACACAGAACTAAAATCAAGCCCGATTGGTTTTGAACTCGAGAAGTGATCGGACTTCGTCGGAGGAAGAAGAAGAAATAGGAATGGGAGAAGAGGAAGGGAAGGTGGGTAAAGGCGGCGATGGCGGGGAGGTGGTGGTGCCATCTCAAACCCACCCCACCTCCTTTCTGAGTTCTGTGTTATGTTTTTTTTTTTTCCCCATGAAAAGTTGCCCCAAAACGACGTCGTTTTGGGGTGCTATAGGGAAGGGTTGCAAATAAGAGTGACGGAGGATCCGGATTCAGAGAGTAAGTCAAAGTTTGGACTAACTTATCAAATGACCATAATAGAGATATTATATAGTCAATATACTGGATATCCCATGTCCTGTCATGTCCTATCAATTCCAACCCCTTTAAACAAATATTGAATTGGATAATATTTTATTAATCCCTCCTTATAATCCTAACTATATCCGAAATCTAAAGAGATTCGTAGTCCTAGGACTATTAATTATGGAAATGTTAATCCAACTTAATCCAGTCCATCTAAACAAACATGGCCTAAATTTCTCAAATTAACAATTCTTCAAGGCACCGTTTGTTTTGGGAGACAGAGTGGGGATTGGAATTGACATGCAGATGAAACCTACTAATATTATGTTTGTTTTGGGAAATGAAAAGGGGATTCATAATCCCCTTCTGATTAGGATGAGTCTTGGGGAGGGAATTAGGATGGAAGCTTAGGACTTGGTATTAGAAAATAGTCCGCCGGACTT